AAGCAGAAACATCCCTAAGTCCTGAACTCCCTGTAGGGAGCATGGAATGTCATCACCTCATTAACACTGTCATCTCTGTCCTCAGAGCTAGCACTTGTTGCTGTGTACAGACTGACAGGTCCCCATGGGTTTTGTCATTTGGTTCTTCCTCATAGAATGAGGTAAGAGTTACTGGTAAGAGTTCATTTCAAATTTGGAGAAAGCAAGACAGAGTCCAGCAGCTTACTCAGGTTCACACAGTGAAGTGATATCTTCAGAAAGTAATGAAATGTGAAAGTGACTTGTCAACTTTTTGATGCCCTGCAAAAAAAAAAAAAAAAAAAGAGTCAAGTGAGCTCATAACTGTGATGCCATCCAGCAAGAATGCCCTCTAGGCAAAGCTTGCTCTTGTAAGACGGAGGGGGTCTCTTATTAATAACATGTTTTATGATTCTGTACTAAAGCCCACTAATTGGAATTGTGTATCCTATAAAATTTTATTGTAAATAAATACCATATTGTCAGGTGATGAAAAGCTTGTAGGGATTTGTACTGTAATTACYATGCTAATGTAGTCTTTCCTAGGCTTCAGATCCTGAAGATTAACTATTGTAGCTGTCAAAAGGCCTGCTTTTTACTTCTAAAACAAGTGATCTGACAATTAACATAAAACAAATTGTATTTTATTGCCAAGCATACAAAAAAATAGATAACTACTTTTATTTCAGTGGACAGTATTATAATAACTATGAGAAGATGAATTGATGTTCTAATAGAAAGAATTTGTACATATAACAGAATAACCTTAAAGAGCCTCTTCAGGCAGTTTTATGTGGTCAGCTTGAAATATGAGTTTCTTAATGAAATGTGTTACATTGGAGGAAAATGGGTTATGGTAGCATAACTTACAGTCTGACACCTGGAATTTTTCAAAGAACTGTTGAATGAGCTCATAGGACTGGTGATTTTATCTACATATTTAAAAAACATTCCTATTAGATGACTGGTGACTCTTAATTCTTATTCATGAGGTGGAAGTTTCTTTAAAAATTTTTGATTAGAAATGATGTCGGTGTCTAGTTATTTTCACATACTTTCTTTTTGTCAATAGCTGTAACAGTGTTTTGATACATTGCAAAAATACTCTTCAGTGAACAGACCGTACATGAGCAATTTTATGTTTTAGTATCTACTAGCTTTCGCTCAACTCTTGGCATCATTGCCACCATTTGCATTGAAATCCCTGATCATCAGCTCCAAGGGTAAAAAGTTGCTTATTGGTTTGTTTACCTTTTTAAATGTTCTTCTTTTTTTTTTTTTTTTTTTTGTCTTAGCTTTCCTGTCTGAAAGGGGATCACTGTACTATAAAGATGACTGTCTGAGTTTAGAGATGGTAATACCTAAGCTTGTTGGTTGTAAGTTGTCTTCTTGGACTCTGATTTGATATTTGATGTAGGAAAAAGGGTTGATCCCTTCCATAGAACAGATGTGTTTCACCAGATAGACCAGTTTTTAAATAAGTGGGAATATGTTTAGTGTCATATGTGGTAGACTGAGATTCCTGTTACATTGAGGATTTTGATATTATAATGTCAAATAGCCCTTGAAGATATGATTAGACAACCATTGGCATTCTGCTCCACCATATCATTGAGGAAGTCATAGGATTTGCTCTTCAACTGGGTGCAGTGGTACACACCTATAATCCCCACTACTAAGGAGGCTGAGGCAGGACAGTTGCAAATTTTGAGACCAGTCTCTGCAACTCAGTGAGGTTCTAAGCAACTTAGGAAGACCTTGGCTCATAATAAAAAGGGTTGGGGATGTAGCTCAGTGGTAAAGTGTCTTTTGGTTAAATTTCCAGTACTAAAAAAAAAAAATCAAAGTAAATAAAAAACAAATTATCCACATCTATTGATGAAACATTTTCTAAAAATAAAAAAATAATTTAAATCATAATGACTTTCAGGATAMAGTTAGAAGTATTTTAGGAAGAAGGATTCAACTTTTCCTTTTGGCTTTTAATTGGTTGTATTTTAAATTTTTAATTAAAATACCATTGAATTTCTACTCTAGTTAGAAAAGTCCGTTGTTAAAAATTATAAGTGGGAAAATATTCAAATGCTAATTCTTCATTTGCTTCATTATGCATAAACATATAATGTTAATAAACATTAATAAATGTATCTCAGAGACTCTTTTTCAATCTTAATTCCTCTACATCCTACTGTATGTACTATTTTGATGTTTCTCATTCAGCTCCCCCTCTCTACTCACCTGGAAGTAATATTGTGATACGTGATAGTTTTAAGGACTTAGGGTTGTGCAGGAAGCCACATCATTTGCTCTCCATCTTATTGTCTTCACAGTATGGTAGAATCCCTCCTTCATTCTAATTTCTGTTGGTTTATTTGGTTCCCTGTTTATTCTCTTCAGATAGCTCTTCTTCTAATTAGTTGCCCTTCCCACAGACAGCTGTGTGTGGTGCAGAAGCTACCTGGACTATGGTGTTCAGGCCTTCTCTTTCCATTACGCCACCTGGAGTTTTAAAAGGTTGTCATCTTTTAAAAGATCTGTTTAGTTGGTAAGGAATTGGCACAGTGGTTTTAAAAGTTGTCCAGGTGATCATATATATATATATATATATATATATATATATATATATATATATATATATATATATATATATATATATATATATATATATATATATATATCCATGGTTGAGAAATCTGGAGCTCTCATATAAAATAACGTTATTTCATATTTTATGTATACATATTTTGAAAACAAATCTGACCTTTAGTAAAGGTCTTGTACATGACAACCATAAAGAACACTTTACAGAGTTTTCTTTTTTTTTTTTTTTAAAGAGAAGATTCTTGCTCATTATATTTGTTAATCATAAACCATAAAATTTGTAAGCAAATAGTGAAAAGATGACAAAAAATAACCACTTGGAAAATTAAGAAGCTCTTTTAGATAATTCATGAGTCAGAAGTTATGCCCTGTCTAAAATATAATGAAGACAACACGCCACAGAAAATCTGTGACTCATGTGTCAAATGAAAAATTTTAGCCTTTAATCCCTTATTAAAGAATAAATAATGAAACTGAAGAAATAGTTGCCTGAAGAGACTAAATAGGGAACCAAATAAACCAACAGGTTGCTGCCACGGAAGAGAAGCTAAATACTTGGTTCAGATGCCTTGAGGGCATCTCATAAATCAGGAAGACCACACCCATGGCAGGCTCCTGGGTGCACAAGTGAACTCTGTGAAGAGACCTTGGGAACACCCTGCTCAGACTGGGGTGCATAGAAAATGGTTTCCCCGGTATTACTTTAACCATGGTCAGCTTCCCAAGCTTTGAGAAGTCCTTGTAGCCATGGTCCAAGGGGCTTGGCTACTGGTGAAGCTGCCCACAGACCTGGTGTCATCCATGTGGTTTGGCAGTGGTGCAGGATACTGGAGTTAAGGGGTTATGGGGGCTTCCACTGGGAGTTGAAAGGGAGGCCTAGGAAGTCCAGCACAGTGGAGCAGGGTTGGAACCACTCCTGGCAGACCTGAGAGACTATTTGTGAAGTTGTAAGGAAGCCATGGCTGCAGTGAGGACCCGTGAGATGCTAATGATGTGGAACATCTGCTGAGGAAAGCTGCTGGCTCTGGACAGAGCCAGCTAAGCGGAAGGCTATGTAGGCTGTAGCCAGCAAGACCCTAGGGGCAGGGCTGCCCAAGCCCTTTGGAGAGCTCATGTCACTGCCATGTGTTCCAAATGCCAGGTGTGAAGCTACAGGGTGTGTTGGCCTAGTTGGATTTTGGCCTTGCTTTGATTTCATCCTTTTTTAAATGCCCCTACTTCTGCTTTTTGGAATGGATATATTTACTCTGTGCCGTTCAATGTTGGATGTGTATAAGTTGCTTTTGATCTTTACAGTGTCTTATAGCCAACAGTTTGACTTGAATCTCAGAGGACATTTGGACTTGAACTTTTGGTCAGTTTTGGAATTGTTATTATCGGGATTCTTAAAGATGAACCAAATGCATTTTGCATTGTGGGATGGACATGTGATTGGGGGTCATGGCAGGAGGGCATGGTGGAGGAAAGACTGTTTTTACCTTATGGTATCCAGGAGGCAGATAAAGATGAGAGGAGCCAGGAAAAAAATATATATAATCCCCAAAACATGTCCCTGGTGACCTACTTCCTCTAGCCATGCCCCACCTGCCTGTAGCTGCCACTCAGGAATTCATTTAAATTATTATTTTATCAAATGGATTAATCTKTCCATTAGGTAATGGCTCTTATAATCTTTTTTTATTTTCTACATTAATAGCAGCTTTTGTGTCATAGAGCCCACCTATTTAAATGTACCCCACATTGACTTCATTGAAATATTTGCAGAATTAAAAACTTCATACTTCATGAGTTACAGTAGTCTCAAAGCATTGGTGCAGAGATCAATTTGGATAATGTATACAACTTAGCATCATATGTAGCAATCATATTATGAGAGTTATAGAATTTGGCGCATGTAATATACATCCAAAGAAGTTCCTTTTTCATGACACTCTTGTTGATATTTATGTTTCAATATAGATAGTAGATTTTGATGTAAATTGCAATATTAAAATATCAAGAATTAGTGTTACATTTCTTTGAAATGGTTTAAATACCTAAAATATAATTTAGAACTCCACATGATTATAGGGTATGTATTTAAGTAATAATATATTAATCTACACCTTAACCAGTAGTTACTTGCATGGACCTACAGTAGAATAGTTAGGTGTATCTATTCTTTAGGGGATGGAAGGAAAGAAGAATAAATGGGATCAGAGGGAGAAAATGACGGAGAATATGTTTAAGTCAATGTTTATTATTTTGGTTATTTTTATTTCCAGCTGTATTGTCTTCTGTCAGGTTTTACCATTTGTGTTGCTCTTTTAATTCATTTGAAAAACAGAGTCCCAAGAATGAAACGTGTCAAAAATCAAAATTGGTATTTTTTGTTTCAACAGAACTGTTCACTATGAAGGCGGTGCTGTCTCTGTTCACGCACGGTCCCTTTGGAGACTAGAGACGCTAAGAGTTGCGTAAGTAGAGGTTACAACCCAGGCCCGGCTCCAAGGGCACAGTCCACCCAGTGCTCTTGGCCTCTGCTTCCATGTGAGGTGGTCATGTTGGCAGTACCAGTGAACCAGCAAAGGAAACAGTGGTGGAGAGCCTGTCCTCTTCCCCTCTACCTGCTTTGCCTATCTTGCTTCTGGGCAGAAGACYGGAGATCATGACACACTTGTGTATCATCTGCCTGTCATTAGCCTCATCTGCTTGGTAGCATCACCTCACCCAGGACCCTGCATTTCTGGAAGCATGTGCTGTGAGGATAGAGTGATGTAAGGCTTGGAGGCAGATCAAGCTGTCTGAGAGCCTGTCACAGCATCAGGTCTGAAGGACTCTGGATTTAACCTTGTCAAGGCTCATGTACAGCTGGCTCAGGAAACTGAGCATGAACGGCAGGACACAAGGCATATCTGGTGTTCATTGTCTTTACTTACAGAGAGCTCGATCCTGAGCAAGAAATACAGATTTTAATAAAAGTCACAAATATTCATTGTAGTGATAAGATCTATAAAGACATACAAGTTCTCAGGAATTCAAAGGCTCTCTGAAGATTGCCTCTAAGTTCCTTTGTATAAATGCAATATTGATGATAAAGGAGTAGTTTTAAGCTGTCTTAAATAGAATTAAAATATCAGAATTTTTTAATAATTGGAAGACTCAGTCCTTTGTCTGAAAAACACTCAAGTTTTCAAAGTATATTACAATATCAAGAAATCACTGACTTAGGATTACAGACTCCATGGGTGAGAATGAAGCACTGTTGTCCTCCAGATTTTTTTTTTTTCTGTGAGATTAGATCTTATGTAATGATGATTAAAATAGCTGAGTGGTCTTCGGTTGGTTTTGTTCAGATATCCCACAGGGTAATTTTGTAAAAATTTGTGCATCTTTTGAACATTGGAAGATGGACAAGAATTTTTTCATGATTGGTTTATATAGATTCATGGAAAATAACTTCCAGTGGACTAAAGTAGTGACATTTTAAAATTGTACCACCACTCCTTTCACAGTATCCCGTTAATAATGCTATTGTGATTTGATGCATACTTTAATTTATTTAAAAATACTTGACTGGGGGGCTGGGATTGTAGCTCAGTTGTAGAGCACTTGCCTAGCATGTGTGAGGCACTGGATTCGATCCTCAGCACCACATAAAAATAAATAAAAAATAAAGGTATTGTGTCCATCTACAACTAAAAAAAAATTTAAAAATTGATAGTTTAAAAAAATACTTGGCTGTATCTCATTTTTTGATTTTGTTTTTTACACAAATGGAGCACAGCTTTTCATTTTTGTAGTTGTACATGATGTATTCATACCAGTCATGCATACATRCCTGTACATTGGGTGGTAATGTCTGTCTCATTCCATCATCTTCCCCCTCCCTCTATCTCCTCCCCTCTGTTCAATCCAGAGTTCCTCCATTCTTCCCTTGCCCCCACCCCCACCCCACATTATGGATGAGCATCCACTTGAATATATCTTATTTAACAAAATGTAATTTAAAAAGTTTATGATTTTCTTTTACCCCCTCAAGGTAGTACATTTTTGTGACTTGAAGACTTTTCCTTCTAACTGTATGATACGCCTTTGAAATAAAATGTGTACATACATTTATGTATTTTCTATTAGTTTGTAACTTTAAAAAGTTTTTCTGTTTTAGTATTAATTATAAATAACTGATAACATTGTTTCTTTGAATATAAATATACAGTTGATCAAAATCCATCTAAATATTAAAACTTGATAAATATTAAGTTTAAAGGTAAAATTTTTGTTGGACATACATTTTTTTCATCTGGAAAAAGAGAGACTTTAGCAAATGTAATAACCTCAGTTTTTATAAAACTTTACAATTCAGAGAATTTAGGGAGAGGGTCTTTTAAGTTGATAGATGAATCTTTTTTTTGCCTTGTGTGTTATAAAGATGGCAGTTTAATTAATCACATACACACTTATATTTGCATATAGTATGAACTACACTATTCTATTAATTGCTGCTTTTGCCATGCTGTTGGACCAAGTTCTGATTGCTCTCTTAGGTGGAGTGGGAGTCACATAAGATGGGGCCAGCCGTTCCGACTACGCCACGTCACGACAGGAAAATACTTAAGTCTCATGGAAGACAAAAGCCTTCTACTTATGGACAAAGAAAAGGCAGATGTAAAATCGACTGCATTTACCTTCCGGTCTTCCAAGGTAAGAAAGAAAAAAGCTTTGGTCTCTCTGTAAATCTCATATTTCCTTTAATGTTAGAAACACAAAAAGAAAGAATGTGGACAGGTTTTATGTGTGTTTCTAAATTCCCTTTTTCTCTTCTATTCTTCTGAACTGCTGAAACTTACCTAGAAGTTTCTCTTGGTATATAGCTCTTGGTTACTTGCATACCAACACCTGTGAGGCTCCTTTTTGGTTTCCCGGGCATCTGCAGTGACAGTTATCACAAACCTTGTCACATTGCATAGCATTATGAAGATGAAACAAAACAGAATTTTTTTCCAATGTACATTTACTCCTCTACTTTTTTATGCAGATCTTTCTTTTGAGCTCCTTTGAATCATTTTATGGTAATTGCATGTTTACATCTGTTATGAAAGTGGTAGAATTTATCACATTGATAGGAATGGTATTGAACTGCTGGCTAGCTTCTCTCTCAGACAAAACCTTATGCTCCTGTTACAGCTAAAGATTTGCCTTTGTACTTCTGAGATTAGTTCATGCCCATCTGGGCATAGGCACATTCAGAATATTGTTCAGTGCCCCACCTGCCTTTTAAATTTACTTCCTAAGAGTTGCACTACTAGAAAACTCTTTAAGGATTCCATCCCCTCCCCCGAATTTTGAGTTCTGCGTGAATTCATATTGCATCTACTTTAACATATTTCAAACTCTTCTTATTATAGATAGACTTTGATCAGTAGTCTGTTTTTTAAAAATGAGAAATGGGTTTTATCTTATAGAAATAAAGTAAAACATGTAGGTAGAAATGCATGGACAAATTAATTGTATCATTCTTTGTTATAACTCCAAACTAGAAAAGACTCAAATGTTTAACAAAAAGTATGTTATAACATTAGCTGGTATTAGCTGCCAGAATATATTGATCTGGAAAGTTATCCATGAAAATACTGGGGAGTGAAAGCAAGCCGTAATGTAATGTGGGTATTTCAAATCCTATTTTAATATAAAATAAATCCTTCCACATGTTGGTGTGTGGTTATACAACAGCTGTAGGGAGAGGTACCATCTCTTAACTTCAAATACTTGAGATGGATCAAAAGGGACACTGCATGAGAATTTGAGAATAGGGAGACTTTTTTTTTGTTTAATTTCAGAAAAGTAAGCCCTTTATTTTTTTGCCCATCATGATGGATACGTTTCTTTTTTAATATCAGAATCATTAGAGAAATATCACCAATTACCCTGACTTTCTGGGACATAAATTTGGGGCACGCTTTTTATTTCTGTAGGATGGTTTCCTAGAAATGCAAATACTGACTCAAAAACTGTGAATATTTGGTAGTTCTTGTTATATTTTGCCCAAAGCAGTCATGTTTGACACATTCTTCTCTGACTTTCTCTCCTGTTTAATAAAATATGATGTTTACCACTACATCTGTCGGTTTTAGAGTTTGTGTTCTAATTCTGTGTACTATCCATGTTCCTCTGTGGTTTCCACTCAGGGACTCTGATTCTGGAAGCTGACCTGTGTGTCTGTTTAAGTATGCTCTTAGTGTTCCCAGGCTCATTTCCTGCCGGGCCCTGCATTCCTGACACCTTGGCACATGCTAGTGTTAGGAATTTGCTGTGTAGACTGTCCTCAGTTGGTGAAGGTGCCTGTACATGTTGACAGGTTGAGCATCGTAGAGGGTGGAGGTGAAATTTTTGAGGAAGATGTTTTACTGCAAAAATTACAGTGAAATTTTATTTTTAGGATCACTGGCAGATTAGGTGGAAATTTTTTTTTTCATGAGGTAGAGACAGTAACTATTATTTCTTTAAAAAGTTAAGTTTTATATTCTATATTTAACATAGACATTATAGAGAGGTTTAAAAGATGATACAATGATGGTGGAAAGGGGAAATTTTAAATAATTTACAATCCACCATTCAGATACACCTCTGTGTGTGCATTGCAACTTACAGCATATTTGTTTGTTTGTTAATGCTAAGTAGAGTCAACTACATACTGTGTTGGGTCTGATTTTTTATTTAATAAAATAAGATGTACCACTACATTTGTTTTTTAGTAGAATTTTGACCATAATTTAACATTTCATTACAAAGATTTCTGATAATCGGTTAGCCATCTCCTAATATTTGAGTATTTAGCTCATTTTTTTTCTTGTGAGAATATTTTTATCTCTAAATACTTCTGTGTATTGTTGACTATTCCCTTTTTGGAAGTTGAGCTATTCAGTTGAACAGTGTGAAGATGCTCAGGACTCTTGGTCCTGGGAACTCCCATAGGGCAGGGTAAGGGTGTGGCACTGTCACTGTGGTGTCTGTAATAGATAAAAGCACACAGCCGAGTACTATTCAAAATGCATACAGGATTCATGCCAAGCAGCAAGGTAAGAAAGTTGTTGCTTCTGTGCAAACTCATCAATAGGTAGAGTTCAGGTTTTGCCAATTTGGAAAGATAAAACTCAGTTGCCTCCAATCCTGTATTCTGTAGCTGAGTCGATCTCTTTTGCCTTTCAACCCATACTGTTTTAAAAGCATGTTACCATGTTTATGTTCCAGTGAGTGAAACATTCCAAAGGAGATGTATTTTAGAAATTGGCTTCCGTTAGTATGAGGACTCACATGGCTTCTGTAAGCAGATGAGCACGACCCACATCTTCCTGCACACCTCCGGCCCAGTCCCCCAGGGCACCAGCCTTGGACGCTCTTCTAGGATGTGACATTACAGTTTAGAGTACACCTCAAATGACCTCAGGCATTTTATATATTTTAAACACACATGAATCTTTTGCATATATTCCTCACATCCTCAATTTCAAATGAGCTTCTAATCATAACATATAGATAAAAATAAAATCAGGAGCAATGTGTGAAGTACATTATAGATGTATGAACTTAGCAGAATTTATTCTCAAACTGGACATAAATACGTTCAGCTGGGAGTAGAAAGAGGCTCCTTATTTTTCCATGAGTTGCAGCGCTACAGAGAGACTCGATGCTGTACCCACCCCCCCTCTTTCTCTCTCTGGGAGTAGAAAGAGGCTCCTTATTTTTCCATGAGTTGCAGCGCTACAGAGAGACTCGATGCTGTACCCACCCCCCCTCTTTCTCTCTCTCTCTCTCTCTCTCTCTCTCTCTCTCTCTCTCTCTCTCTCTCTCTCTCTCTCTCTGTAAAACAAGAAGGGCAGGTGGGTCTTTCCATGTCGGCTTCCAAGTTCTGAATTCTGCTTGGGTTAGATCTTAAGCTCTAATGGAGGTTAGCATCCATCCAAACAGGCCAACCTCTGGTTTTTGTGACACATGAATTTTAAAAATGACCCTTGCTCACAATTATTCCTAGCTCCCAGGACTGTCGTCTAGAGTCAGTGACACAGATTCCCATTTGTTAGTCTAATGTAGAGTGGTGACATCTTCTCTTGTATTTTTATTTTCCATAATTCTGTATGTGATAGCTTAGAGGAAAAATAAATTTGTGTTTGATTCTTGTGTAATACTTTACGTAATTTTGATTGGCAGAAAATATTTTTTTTAAAGTTGGAGATGTTTTTGATATTAGCAAAGAGTTAAAATTCAATTGCAGAGTCTTGGAATATGTGCTGGTGTTAACATACCACATTTTGATAGTTTTCTTTAAAATAAGTAAAAATATGAATGGGTATCCCAGGAAAAAAACAAATGGTGCAGAAATTAATGTATAAAAATATAGTCACATATGTAGACATTTATGAAAAAGTAAGAAGTAATTAATGGTGTTGATTATTTTAGTTGGAAGGAAGCCAATTGCAATTAAAGTTCATTCATGCTGAAAAGTATTTTCTGCTTTATCTTTTATAATAAAGAAACATTGAACTTAAAGCCAACTGAAACAGAATAAAAGTAAATTTTTCACACTGTCAACATTTCAGAAAAAAACTGTTGCTAGACGGTTTGACCATCCATTTGTTAACAGTGGTCACATGTAGTCCTGGCTCCTATTCTTTAACGTTGGGTTCACTCAAGTGTATCTCTGAGAGCCACATCTGCTCATACTGCTTGACTATTTCCAGTGGAAAGAATGAGGACTCACTTCTTGAAGGCAAAGACTCCTTCTTTTGTTATCTTAGACCCAGGAGTATTTAAGTTTATAAATTACCTGGTGTCTTTAATTTCTGTATTGCAGAGTAAGTTTTCATTATTGATGAAAGGGTAAACTTTTCATAATCGAAAATAACAGCTTTTGTCCTGGGCTCATGGGCACAAGTTTGGAAATTCTGAAATGAAAATTAACTCTGATGAAACCCCTGCACCTCCATTGACTTTCTGTGTGTCTAATGTTTGAGCCTTCCTTGAAAGTATGTCCCTACAATTTTACAGATCATGAATACCATTCTGATTTAACATTTGTAGGTGAGAGTCTCTTTAAGAGGCCATGCTGCGAGTTGATGAGAGGACCATTACCCTTGATTGTCCCTGGGGCATCTTTGACACTGATGTAAACATTCAGTACCTAATCTCCAATTCTGGATTTGACAAACCAACCATTCCTGACAATCATATCTGTTCAGAAGAAAGTGAATCTATAGGAAACAGTAATAATGTAACCTACATTACAGTCTGTCCTAAAATTCTACATAAAGAAGAATGTGCTTTCTTAAATGTGTATTTTCTTAAGCATGTTTTCCACTTCTCCTAAGACTTTTAACCAGCACTCTAAAATGTCTTCAAATGTTCGTTTTAATCATACAGTAGATCTTGTCAATCACATATGTATCAAACCCCAAGATGTAGTTTTTATTTTAAGCTTGAAATGCCAGTGGAATATTCTTCTGCAGAGAATTTCCTCCAGTCTACCCTCCCTGGTGCACCATGAATGGAAGTCTTCTGCCATTGAAATGTTGAAATAATAACCTCCAAGGAGACTGACTGCCAATAGGATCACAAGGATTGTGAAACAAACAGCAAAAATAGAAAAGAACRTTTTTAGGTTGTAATTCCTAGCATGTTATTTTTATTGGGGATTTTTTTCTTGGTTT